AAGGGCAGCTGGGAGATTTATGGGTACCTGGATAGTGTCTGCTTTATGAGCTGCTAAAGAGCCAGCTTCTGCCCCCCGGCTTGCTCTTTTACAGGATCCTAGTGATGGTTGAAAGAATGAATGAATGAGTGAATGAATGAACCAAGACCTGGCTCCTACCCCCAAGAAGCTTACTTACCTGGGTACCCCTGTGCCTTGGACCTAACTTTAGCCTCGTTCATGTGCATCACCTTAAACAATGCTCAGAACAAACCTGCAGGATGTTTTATTTCCTCCACTTCTCAGATGAGGAATTTGGGGTGCTGAGAGGCAGAGTGAGCTGTCCAAGTTCCTGCAGCTGGGATTTGGGAGAATGAGGGAATTGGGATTTGACCTGAGGTCCTTGGAATGTCAGATGTGCACCCTTTTCCAGGGAACATGATAGTCATTTAATTCCAGAGCTACCCGAGACAGGTGTGGATGAAATGGCTGTGAATCGAGCAGGAAGGAAGCTCAGGAAGGCTTCAGAGGAGTGACCCCGGCCACGGGGTCTGAGGATGAGTAGGAATTTACCGGACAGGGAAGATGGAGGCATGGCTGGAAAAGGAGCGACAGCTTGTCTAGCTGGAACATTCCCTCTGGGCGTCGGTGGGCAGGTGCGCTCTTCCGGGGCCCTCCCTCTTGGGAGCTGGACTTCTCCTCCTCTGTGGGGGGATGTACAGAGGGAAGTCTGGGCGTATGCTGCACCTCACTCCCAAGGTGGCCGGAAGTCTCCGCGGGAGCCCCCACCCTGTGCCGGCACTAGCTCTGTGCTTGTAGGAGGAAGAAAGGTGACCTGGGGCCCGTTGTGAGGAGACGTTTCCCCTGGGACCCTGGGATGGGGGCGGGTCAGTGGAGGAGGTGGAGGACCCTGGTCCTGCCTCTGGTCAGAGGGAGGAGGCAAAGAGAGATGGGGGTGGGTGAGTTGTCCCCTGTGACGGTGGCCAGTGGCCCTCTTCCTCTGGCATAGACAGCATTTCTCTTATCACTTCCCTTAAATGTCTTCACTGGGCCTGCTGTTGAGGACAGCAGGTGTCGCCTGTCCTGGGGGGAGTGTGGAGTGTCTTCAGTAGGTCCTTGGCTGTGATGATGGTTGAATTTGCGAATGCACCATTTTGCTGAAGTGGGTTGAATGAACTTGAGCTTTCACGGAGGTCAAGAAGCAGGAGCAGAGTCCCTCTAGCCTGCAGCCTTTAAACTGTATGTTTTCAACAGCAGGACCTTACAACAAGCTCAGAGATTTAACCCGAAGTCCAATGCTTGTGACAGGTATAAACAGCTGTGTGGAGTGAGTGGGGATTTAGAGGACTGCACCATCAGCTCCCTCTTGACCCCACCTGGCCCCTCAGGAATGTTCACAGAACCCCAACACCTGAATGGAGTGGACCCCATCACTAAGGGCCACGGAGGAATGGCCGGGGTTGATTCTGTTTGAGTTTTATCAGTAGTGGCCATGAGGAGTACACTACCCCAGATTGTTGAGTGAAATCTGGGGGGCGGGTCCTGTTCAGTTGTAGTGCTAGCTCCGATGATGTCTCCCCAGACCCCCCTACAGGGAGCACCCATGAAATAAGGCTTTGGACTCTGGGCACCATGACCGAGCAGGATGGGGGAAACTGCCCCGGGGTGTAGGCCCAATCGCTTTCACCAGAGGCAAGCTCAAGTCCGGAGAGGCCAGGCAGGACATTAACACAGGACGGGGTCAGAGCTGCCTTAGCTTCTGTTCCTCTACGATCTGCGCTTGTCTCCCTCTTAGTGGGCCAAGGGAGGGCCTCCCAGGGGCCCCGCAGATAGACATCAGCTTCAGCCTTGTCCAGGCCTTGCCCAGCCAGGAGCTGTGAGAAGCACAGGTCCTGATATGGAAGCTGCCAGGTCCTTCCAACAGGCTGCCCATTCTAATTAGGACAGCGGCCTTTCATTTCTCTGCCCTCCCCTCCCGCCCAGCCTCACATCAGTTTCCCTTCCTGACTCCGTCTGGTCCGTGCCAGGCGCCCCTCCCGAGCTGGGACACCAGGCAGGGGCTGGGGTGAGCAGGCCTGCCTGTCAAGCGTCACCAGGGTTGACTCTGGATCTAATTTTTCTCAGGGCCTGCCTCCAGTGGCCTTCAGCTGCCCCTCGGCTCCACCAGGCGTGGCCGGGCCCCTCTCGAGCCTCGGCCTGGAAGGCTCCATCCACTCTAGTCCGCCTGCCTGAGATTACCTAGGTGTTCTGGTGACTTCTGAGGGCCTCGCATGAAAGATAACGCCCAAATCAACAAATCTGCCATTGTGGCTTTGAAGAGACTGTTTCAATCACTTTATTTTGTCTTTATGTCAGGTTTGCCAGATGGCTTGGGTCTTCCTGAGGTCCTGTACCGAGGGGGCGCAGAGAGAACTGGTGCTGCTTCAAAGCTCCTTTTTAATCTTTAGCAACATCACAGCGGCTGGGAAACTGCCTCGGCTCCCTCAAGTCTCTCCCACAAAAGAGGCGCGGCCGAGGCTCTAATGAAAGCCAGATAAAGGGATGGCTGAAATCAGAAACAGAGGGAAGAGAGCAGTCGTTAGTCTTTCTTGTAGCTGTTTCAAAAGAAATTCTAAGACAAATTATGGCTTTGGGTGTTTTTCTAAAAGGACTGAGCAGGGAGAGGAGCTGGGGGAGGATGCTTTGACCCCTCAGCACCCTTCCCCTTGCATAAAAGGCAGAGGAGACTGAAAAAAGGCCGAAATACAACAATAAACCTTCCGCGTGTGCGCGTGGGGATGAAAGGCTCGCTGGCATAATTATGGGCGAGGGCGCGCGGGAGCGGGCGGGCAGCTTTACCTTGCCGCCAGCGCTATTAATGATGAGGCTCCCTCCTTTTTCTTCTCTGGAAGGGGCGCCTCTGGTTTTCGAGACCGAGAGGGTGTGCACCACGCACAGACATTTGGCGCGGGCTGTGGCTCTGTGATGCGTTACTCCATCACATGAGGCCCCAACGTCCTCCCGGGCTGCCGGCACCCCATCATCCATAAGGAGGCAAACGCACCGCTGGCTCACCCTCCCTTCCCAGCACCCTCCTCTCAGGCTGCAAGGCCTGTATCTTGGGGCCTGGGAAGGGGTTTTCTGAACTGCAGTTCCAGCTCCACCTGCTCGTTTTCTTCCAGGTCAGCCCTGTTTCTGGGGCGCGGGGGCGTGGGGAGAGCCGACGGTCTTCTAGCGAAGACGTGGCTTCATGCTCACCATCTGCCAGAAGCCAGGCTGTCAGGGGCCTCTGTGTTCTCAGCAGGGCTGGGGCACCAGGTTACTCTCACCTCCTGAGTCACCTCCCATAGGACCTGGTCTTAAGTTTCTGTTGCCACTATTCCGTGGCTGGTTGGCTGGCTACTTGGCCAGGCCTTGAGGGAAGGGACAGCTAAGCTTTGACAGGCAGGTGGGCAGGAGGCAGAAAACTGGACAGTGTAGGGGGCCCTCCAGGGCAAGGACAGGGTGGGTAGTTGGGGGGTGCCAAGTAGCATCTTTTTCAGGGCACCGCTGACTTTCAAGGCTGGGGAAGACCACCAGAGCCACCAGAGCACAGTTGGCCCTCAGAGGGCCACTCACTGTGGAGATGGCTCTCCAAGCTCCTGGGAGGGTCGGCCAAGGTCAAACAGCTGTTTGGGATAAACACAACCTCAAGTCCTTGTGCCACGGCAGAGCCAGACGTTCTGAGAGATGGTGTCTTGTGGGATGTGGGGTGAGAGGAAAGTTCAGATGCACAGGGAGACGGACAGGGCCTGCTATGTCCCCCCTGCTTCCCTCAACCTCCTCCCTTTGCCTCTTCGCATGGCCTGGTGGCTCAGGAGCCTTGGCTGAGGGGTGCTCCTGGGGCCTTCAGAGCATCAGGCGCATCGCCAGGGTGGGGGCAAGCAAGGGCACTGTTTTCACTCTCTTCACTGCTTGAGGTTCTTGCATTGCATTTGACACTTGAGAACAGCAACTGCAGAAATGTAGTTGCCCAACTTTTACCCGCCTATGTTAAAGGTTCTCCCAATACCCCATCTGATTCTGAGCCCCAGAGAAGAGAGTGGTGGGTATCAGGAGAGTGTCTGCAGGAAGAGCAAGGGAAGAGGTGGACCCATCTCTTTGTATGCCCCCCACTTTCTACCTCTGTCTGTCTGTCTGTCTGCTCCCCATCCCTTTCCAGCGATGTGCCGCCCTGGGGTTCAGTCTTGGGTCTGGAGCCTCGGTGGCCTCCCATCGCCTGTGCCCTCCCAACATCTGCAGTGCCTCATAGCCCTGATGCACCTGTCGAGAGAGGAATCTGGGGTGCTGAGAGTTAGAGAACTCCAGCTGACTGAGCTAGCTGGGAGGGGGGAGCAGGGTGAGGTGGTGAGGGCTGGTGTGTCATCTCCTGCTTCCACTCCTGGCGCAGAGCCAAGCAGAACTTCCCGTTGGGCTGCTGGGCTGTTTTATTGGAGAATTTAGGCAGATTAGAGGTTATAAGCACATGGGAGAGATTTCCCCTGTTCTCCTGTATGTACAGTGCATACTGGACACCCCCAAACTCTTTTTGTAGAAGGTACTGGACAGCTGGGGTGGGCGCAGGCTTTGGAGCCACACTCTTGCCATCTGAATCCTGGCTCCCCAACTTCTTAGCTGGGAGGCCTTAGGCAAGTGGCGTATCCTTCTGGAACGTCACTTCTCATAATTGTACTTAGCTCATAGGTTTTATCACAAGGAACGCATGGATTAATACATGTAAAGCACATAGGACAGTGCCTGACCCACATGTACACGTAAGCTGTGTTCCCACCTGCATCTCTAGTCTTCCTTGTCAGCAGAGACGAAGAGGTAATCCGCTGTGTGACCTGTCCCCGTGTTTGGGGATCGTGGGGGCGCTGGGGTGATTGTCTCGCTCTCTCCTTATCTTCTGGATACAGATGCTCTCCTCATGGGTGGGCCTAATTCCTTGTAGTTCTAAAGATGGGGTGGAGCCTATTGTGATCACATGGCACAGGCCTAGCCAATCAGAGAGCCCAGTTCCTTAGGCCACAGTGGTTGGATCAGACATATAACCCCGGCAGGGTCAGAGTCCTTCCCCAGAAGTTTGCCAGCAGACCATTAGTAGGGTGGCTTTCCATGGTCTGAGAGTCCAAGCCCTAAGGATGAGAGAGCTGTCACCACTGGAAGCCACATTCTCTAACTGCACGACGGAAGTTACAATAGGTGGAAATGAGGTCATCATATCAAGAAAAGTAGGAATGAGACATGGGGAGAGGGGGAGAGAGAGAGAGAGAGAGAAAATGATGTCTGAATCTAGCCAAGGCAATCCCGTTCTGTGTGTGCTGGAGTCAGTTTCTTTGCGCACTTGGAGAGCTGAGTTAGGTTCTTGCCACTGAAGGCCACCGACCTACTGCGAGGCTGGCAGGTCACCTCGGAGGTCCGCGTGTGCGCACCTTGCTCTCGCTCACAGGGCTCATAGCCTTTTTAACCGAGGAGCTATACCGTGAGAAGAATAAGGAGGAGTCCCAGGTGATGAAGGGTTGAGAGTCAGGCTCTGGAGAACTGGACAATTAGCGCTGATGTTGAGTCAGCAGAATTTGAGCCTTCCTGGGTGTGGGTCATGGAGCTGGGCTTGAGTTCACGGTCTTGCAGAGATGGTGAGGGGAGGAGGCAAGCGTTCCAGGTTTAGTTAGCATGTGCTAGAGACTCAGAGAGAACAAGTGCGTCAGGAGAGCAGAGGCCAGCCTGGGTGAAATGGCACCTACCTGGGGAAAGGAAAAGCGGAGATTGGAGCGCTCCTTTAGGGAGAGGGAAGCTCTTGAGTTTCAGGTTTATGGAAGTTAAAAGATTTAGAGCTGTGGAGAGGGTGGTTAAGATGGGGAGGCTGAAGTCAGGGAAAAGACCAGGCTAGAAGACCAGGAGAGAAATAATGGTGTCTAGAGTTGGTGGAGGCTTAGAATGAGGAGGCTATCACGGGGATGGATTTTTATGTTCCGCATCCACTTTTTTTCTTCTGGTACGAATGTCTCTATTTTCCTTCGCGAAATCACCCCTCCCCCAAACTCAGTGTATACAGTGTTGGTGGGAATGATTTCACACGCAGGCCGAGGGCATGACCCTGACCCAAGGTAATCCATACAGCCACGCATTGGTGGTCGTAAATGGTGCAGGGATGGCCATGCATCCTTGAAGGAAGTTACAATAGGAGGGACCAGGGGGAGTCAGGCCCACTGTTCTTATGAGTTAGGGAAAAGGAATTCTCTTTTTTGGTGGATTTGTGGGTGAAGGCCGGTGAGTCTGCGGCTGCAGAATGAAGTCACATGGAAGCAAGCAGAGAGATCACGGAGAGAGAAGGATCTAGTAGTGACACCATCATCAGAGACCCTGAATCAGACACACCCCTGCTGTGTCTGTATCCTGCACCCTGGTGTATACTCAGACAATGAAGCTGAGTTTCCTATAACTCGTAAATAAGAGTGTTGGGACGGATGCAGTCGCACTGATGAGCTTAAGTGACTGATGAGCTCAGTGTGTGCACATGTGTGCCCAGGGGAAAGGCAAGGAGAAAAAGAAAAAGGAGTGGTCTGGGCCTCTGTACCCGAGAGGCTGGTGATACAATTCACAGGGTCTGGGTCCATGGAAGAAGATATCATTTTCATTGGAAGGTGCAAAGTTTGCCAGAACTCAACATACCAGCATGAATCCAAGGTGGCCGATCATTTCCCCACCGTCAGGAAAAAGGAACAAATTCCGAGAGACTATGCTGATCTTGGGGACTTAGCCACTGGCAGATTCTGTCCTGGGCCAGTGTTGGTTTCACTCCCTGGCTCTGAGGCCCACAGTTTACTGACTACTCGCCAATCAGCGTTGGAGCAATGTAGGCTGAAGCAGTGTTTTTCTTGCTTTTTTACTCTGAAATTACATGAACCAGAAACTCCATTCTTCAAAAGCAATTGGCAAAGTGAAAGAAAAAAAAAAGGCAGGGATTGGGCAGACTGAAGGCCAGAGCTCACACCTTGGTTCAGCTGTGCTCTGTCTCCATGACCTTGGGCAATCACTCAGTGGCTTGAAAGGTGGGAAAGTGAGTCAGAGAGTACCAGGTGAAGAGGGGAGAAGCTCTAGGCCGAAGGGCCAGCTGGTGACTGGGAGGAGAGAGATGGCCCAGAGGGATAGCGTGCATGACAGGCCTGGTGTCAGCTGGACGTGTGTCCTCTTTATGGCTCAAGTGGATGACCTTAAACAAATCCTCTTGCTTGTCTGTAAAGTAGAGCCAGGGATGTTTATCTTGAGAGGCTGACGTGAAGATTACTGAAAGAACTTCCTCTAAAGATCCTGGCACACAATTACTCAACAAATGGTTGCTTCGCTGCTGTTGTTTTTTGATGATTTATTATGACTTCTCAAGGCATGGAGGTTTGGAAGAGCATGTGTGTGTTAGTCAGTCTTCTTTTAGTTGCAAATAAAAGAAACCCAAATCAGACTGGCTTAAGAACAAACAGAAGTTATTGGTTCACATACGAGTCAAGTCCAAGAGCACTAATGGATATCGGGTGTGGGTCCATCTAGGGGTTCAAATAATATCACCCGCACACTGTTTGCTTCCCTACTTCTTGCCTCTGTTTTCCCTGGTACAGATTCCATTTCAGGGGTACGCCAATTGTAAAAACTCAGACCTCTGGGCCATGTTGTTAAAACATTGGTAGCATGAAATTGGCGATGGTAGGAGTATTTATATCATGGAAATTGGCAAACACTACAAATTAGAACTTTTTTTACTGGGAGGAGTGCTAGCTCACAAACAGCTGGCTCACACCAGAGGGAAGGCGACCTCTTTTCCAGGAATTCCAGAAGATGTCCCAGGGTTGGGTCTCGGTGGCCTGGCTGGATTGGTGAAATAGTAACTGAGGTCAGAGTGCCAGGGCGCTGACGGAACACGTCCTCCCTGGAGCTGAGAGCTAGAGGCAGCTCTGCCTGAGTGCGTGGACTGACGTGTAGGAAAGGTTCCCTTTACCATAACAAATAACCACAGGACCTGTTTGCCTGCGACAGGAAGTGTTTCTATTGCTCACACATCTGTGGCTTGACTGGAGGCTCTGCTCCAGGCTGTGCTCATCTGAGGCAGTTTGCTGGGATTGTTCTGTTCCTCTCCTCTGTCCTTCTCTGGGGACCAGCAGGCCACCCCTGTATGTCTTCCTCAGGGTGATGGCAAATTCACAAGATAAGAAACAGTGATGCCCTCCAAGGCCGGTGCTCAAATGAGGCACATCAACACTTCTGTCTCCTTCTTTTGCCCACAACAAGCCACAAGCCTGAGCCTAGATCCCAGGAGGACATAAACTTGGCTTCTTCAGTGAGAGAAGCTATAAAGCCTAGTGGTGAAGGGTTTAAATGTGGAGAGGAACAAGAATTGGGACCATGAAAATAGCTGAATGTTTTCCCTAAAGAAATTCAGGGTGCTATCAATTGTGGAAGGGGGGTAGATGCTGGGTGTCGCCTGAGGGTGTTGGGAGGGCAGGCTGGACATTGCTGTGTGGGCTGTGCTTGAGGGAGGGAAGGGCATGGAGGCTGCAGTATGAGGTGAGGCCCCCATTGGAAAAGGGCCCTGGGGCTACCATCTATGTGAGTTAGATGACTGCTCTTTTTCTCAGACCCAAGGGAGTCGTCTGAATTTTTATTTTCCAGTTGCAGACACTGAACAGGGTTTGAGGTCAAGTTCAAATATTTGGGAGGTGATGCCAAGAACCACTAATAAGGGAGTAGGGAAATGAGCAGTATAATGCTGGTAAACTGGTTGTCTGAAAAAAAAAAATGCTGATTTAGTGTCTGCCAATTTTCATGGTGTAAATGTTAATTTCAAGTTAATTTCAAGTTTCAGGTAGGATGCAACTGAATGTGGAGCGGGAAAGAGCTTCATTGGCTGGGCTTCCACGGGCCGGTCTAAGCTGGCTTCCACAGACCACAGCAGGTGAGATAGGAAAAGAAGGCAGCTGGTAAAGGTCCACAGTGGGTTCCTGGACCCAGTTCCAACAAGGTTGTGTGGAGGCTCTCCCGCACCAACAATTCTTGGTCACCAGCAGAGTTTCTGAAAGTTCAGCTCAACCCTGACGCCATTGATCCAGAGATGGCATCACGTTCCCCAGGGAAACAGCTCAGTCTCCCAAGCCCACCTTTCACATCAGGTGCCAGTCACAACCCTGGGCTGTCACCTGTGTGCTGGTCTACCAGCTACACACTGGGGGTTCCCACTGCCTTCCTTTTAGACTTTTGATGCCTGGCACAGCCCAGGCAAACTGCCTGTGCTTCTGACCAACCAATTGTACATCAGAGGTTCTTGACTAGGACAGTCAGATGGAGGAGGTGCTCAGGGCAGGTGTGGAGAAAGGGCTCGGAGCCTCCAAGCCCTTCCAAACATGCCATTTCCCTCAAATCTCCATGTGTTCACTGACCTGTTAGCTTTCCAAACCTCATCTTTTTGGGGTTTTGTGGAGGTTTTAACATCTGGTGGATGAGCTAAAGCACCCGAAAATCCAGCCTCAGACCCCAGCATCCATCCAGTCAGATGTCTCCATCTTGACCCCCAAGCTCCCCAAGCTCCGTAAGCATCCCCTCCGTAAGGCCCCCTAACTGGCATGCCTCTTCTCCTATCTGGTTGATCTTAGGCAGGGTTTTATTTTGGGCTCCACGTGCATCTTTCCAGAAGCTCTGCACTGTCTCCCCCGGCACCTCTCTCCCTGCACCATCTCTCTGCTCCAGCCTCTCTCCCCTGCAGTTCCTCTTGCAAGCCCCCAGGAACTTTTTGAGGCTACCTTGGTCACTTCACTCCCTGCCGAAAAGCCTCTGGGTGGCTCCCCATCAAGGTGAGGAGGAAATCCGAACTCCTTGCCCGGGTCTAACCCGGCCTGCAGGGGCTGGTCCCTGTCCAACCTCCAGTGCCCTCCTCTCCACGTGCCTGCACACCCTCACCCCGGTCCCCTGCCTGAGGAGCAAAATTGCCTCAGTTCCCTGAGCCTGCGCTCTCAGGGGCAGCCTTCACACAAGCTGTGCTCCCTGCTCCGTGCTCGTCCTCCCTCCCTTCCTGGCCAGCCTGACTCATTCTTCAGGTTTAACTTAAATGCCACTCGCAGGGAGCCGATGCCGCAGAGTCCTTGGCCTCCTGAACCCCTGTGCTTCCACGGACGCGCTGGAGCCGTATCGGTTGTTTCATCACATCTCTCCCGGGAGAAGCAAACCACTCGCGCTGGGACCATGTCTGATTTGTTACTGGTTTACCCCTGGCATTTAGCACCCGGCGGGTGCAGCTGCCTCTGGGGTGTCTGGTGGGGGTCGGGGGACAACCCGGAGTGATGAGTGACCCGGCTTCCGACTCTCCCACGGGAGACACTCGGCTCATGGCGCCCTTGGTCTTTCCCACCTCCTTTTACTCGGGGCCTTCACCAGAAGAGAGGGAAAGCGACACGGAGAGCAGGAGGGGGACGAGAAGAAAGGCGCTCTAATCCGTGGCCCAGAAGAAATGAACATCCCAACCTTCCCACATCTCTCATCTAAGTAGGTCACATGGAAGAACTCGGAGTCCCTGTCAAAGTTTCAGGCAAAAACAATAACTTGGTTTTGACCTTGCTCTCTTCAAAAAGCAAGTTGCTGCTGAGCTGCAACATCAAAAAGAATAAATAATTGTTTTTCTTTTTTGTTGTTATGATATGGATCATCTGAACGGTTAGTGGTAAGCAAGCTGCTTTGATTCGGCTCTGGCTCCCCAGCGCTGCAGCCTCTCTTTATGTCAGCAGGCTCCTGTTTCCACCCCAGGACAGCAGAATCCCTTGATTAAATTCATATTTGTTTTAATCTTTCCTTGTGTCTGATCTTGAGCTCAAAGATGGTCAGGAAAAAAAAAGGCGGCTGCCCCGCTGCGGCCACGGGGAGGGCCTGTGTCAGGCCCCACGCTGTTTGTTCTGTCCGGCGCGATAAGGCAGCCAGCCCGCGGTGCCCTGCTCTGCGCACTGTGCCGACCGGTCCCCCCACTGCCAACGGCTGCTGGGACGGCCCACCGGGCCGCTGGGCTGCAGACGGCAGCTGGCAGAGCCGGCCCCAGCCTCCATGCACCCTGCGCTGGCCTCGGAGTACTAGAAGTCGCCTTACAAATTTTAAAACTGAAAAGATTATGGATCTCACTTGCACAGAATGGAGTTTATCAATCTGTCAGTTTGTGGCAGGCGCCTATCACTTGTATGTTTCACAGGCCCTGCTTTCATGCCCCCTCCTGCCAGCAGCGAGACAGCCTTCCCATGTGTTCGGTAAATATCCTTAAGTACAAAGTGTTGCTTTGTATGTGGATGTGCGTTTCTTTTTTTATTGTGGTAAAATACACATAACATGAAAATGAGTGTCATTTTAATAGACCGAGAGGTGCTGTGTACTATGCAGCCAGGGCTCCGTACAGGTTCTGGATCCGACCGCCCGGAGTTCAGAACCCCAGGTCTGCCACTTGCTGCCAGTGACTTAGCTCCTCGGGGCCTCAGTGTCTCCATCTGTGAAATGGGACGGTATATTTGTTCCTGCCTCGCACACTTGTGCTGAGGATGAAAGGAGCTGATACTTAAAGGAGTTGGAACACGGCCTGGCATACGCTAGATGCTCAAGAGTGCCTTTTTGGTATTCTAGTTCTTATTTTTAATTTTCTATCTCTCATCCAACCCTGTGGTTTTGAGAATTGTCCATGCTGCTCTTTGTGCATTTGGTTCTTTGATTCGAACTCTATTCCATAGCGTGTGCTGCCTACGTTTTACTTTTTGATTCCTGAGGGATGGATACAGAATGGGCAGTGCAGAAGTCAGTGCTCCTCGAAGGTCCTCAGAGGCTTTCTGGCCCCTGGAGCAGGGTCCCTGGGTGGCGGTATTTACATAAGGAGAGAGAAAACACATTTTTCTGCCTTTGTGGCAAGTACAAATTCTGTTGCAGCCACTCACTCAGCTGTAGCACTAAAGCAACCATAGGCCACATGTATGTGGATGTGCGTGACTATGCTCTGACAAGCCTTTGTTTATAAAACCACGGCAGGCCAGGTGCGGCCCACAAGCTAGCAGACTCCTGGCCCCGCCGTACGTACGTGCACTTACTGTTACGCTCCCTTCTTATACAGCCTGTTGTCCTGCCAGCCATGCCCCTGAGTTCTGTCTCCCTGTGTCCTCTCACTGGAAGTCTCCAAGTCAGGGATTCAGAGGGTACAGGGGAACCAGGAAGGCCCATCCCTCTGCCCCCACACTTTGGCTGCCTGCTGTGGAGGGTACTAGGCTCGGAGAGGTGGAGTGACTTGTGCAAAGTCGCATAGCTAGGAGAAGGTGAAGCCAGAGCTTCACCTGAAAATGCATCTATTTAACACCGACTTGCATTTCTAATCCTTCCCATTGGGGCTCTCTGGGGAGGGCTGGGCCTTGAAGAGAAAGGCCCAGGAAAGTTGGGGAGGGGCGCAGATGTGAAGAAAAGGGGAAGGCGTAGTCCCGGCTCTGTGTCTGGTGGAAACAGGGCATCCCTGGCTAAGGACCCGGTGTGGGTAGTTCTGATACTCAGGCTCATGGTGGAAAATTCTCTGTGGTCTTAGCATCTTGACTCCCTGCCTGTGATGAGGGAAGGACCTGGACCAGGGAGGGCAAAGGCTCTATCACATGTGTTGTGTGTGAGGGTTTATCTGAGCCGAGCAGGGGAGAGGGCTGTGCCTGGACCACCTTGAGTCCCCTCTGTACTTAACGCCTGACATTTCATTAGTGAAGCACTTAAGGAGTTTGTGAACAAGAACAAATTAAAAGTGATGTTTTCCAGCCACTTAAAAAAAGTAAATCTTTACTGATGTATTTAGCACACCTATAGACAAATTTGCAAATTACACAAGTATGACTATTTTCAAAGTGCACATCCCTATGGGAGCCCACACCAAGAGACAGAACTTGATCAGCACCCCAGAAATTCCTCATGTCCTGGATACCTCCCACCTCCCGAGGACACCCACTCTCCTCACTTCTAATAGCATGAATTAGTTTTGCCTAGTTGTCAACTTGAACTTTATAGAAATCATCAGCTAGGGGTAAGCAATTTGACTTGCAGTTAAATGCAGTTTTTGTTAGATGCAGTTTTGTGCACTGGCTTTACCTTGTCCAGCAGAGTCACAGCAGCCCTGGGGGGCTCAGCTTTTGTTTGTTGCCACCATCACTGGTCTGAGTGGGACTTGAATAAGAGCCAGCAGGGCTAAAAATATATGCATTTCTTACTTTCAGGCTTAGTTGTCAAGTCTGGCTTAATAATGTCAGACTTTTCTTTCCTTCAGGAGGATTTATATTTTAGGGGCCTCAGTTCAGTCTGGGTTCAGAGTTCATATAACAGAAGTGGGTGATGAAAAACTTAAGCATAAGAGAAATGGAGTGGAAGAATACTGAGTAGCTCACAGAACCAGCAGAAGGCTAGAGTTCTCTGAAGGGGAGCCTAGACTCTCCCCAGATCACACCAGGGGTGTTCCTTCAAAATAGAAAGCATATTTAGAATCTGGGAAGGGAGAAGAAAGTTCTGAGAAGCAGAGAGCAGAAGCCGAAGCCAAAGAAGGAGAAAAAGATGGCAAAGGGTGAGGGAGAGGGGAAGGAGTAGGGCAGGAGACGGAAGGAAGAGGTAGACACAGGAGAAAAGGAGGGGGGAGGAGGTGAGAAATAGAAAGGAGCTGTTGAACAAGGAGGAACAAGGAGGAAGAAGAAGAGCAGGCGGGAGAGAGAAACCCTCCCTTCCTTAGAATCTGACATCTGCTGCAACCCCCTCAGCCTCATGACAGCATGAATACACCAAATCTGAACCCCAGTCCTTTCCTAAAAAGACTTTCTGGCCACCCCCACTTCCCGCCCCCTTGTGAACTACCTGGCACGAACAGGAGGACCAGAAAAGCTACTCCCCCAGGCGCTATGGGGTACCCTGAGTAAGTTGGCATCTTGACACCCTGTTTCAGGAGAGTGGCTTGGCTGTCAGAAACAAAGTGCAGCCACAGCAAAGACTCAGCACTTTCCTGACAGTGATTTGGCCACGTAAAGTCACAGCACCATCCAGGGGTGGGGACCAGACAGAGGGCAAAGCCCTGCCCAGCTCAGATGGAGGGAAGGCTGAACTTGAGGCATGACTCACGGAAAGAGTTCCCACCTCTTCATTCACAGTCTCGTCCTAATTTTACATTTAAAGACTTAATATTGTTTTCAGGGATAGCCAATCAATGAAGTTATTCATGCCTTTGTCACTGTTGGAAGTTTTGTTTTTCTTCATGAAAACTACTGAAGTGCAAAGTCTGTATATGATAAGAATGTGAGGAGAAATGTTGCTGAATACATAAAGTGAGCAGTATTGAGTTTAAATACATTTAAAATTTAAAAAAATTCAAAAGTGATTTGCAGATAGTAGTGCTTGAAATAAGATTTAGACTTTTGTAAAAAATCGCCATTGGGTACAGCCAAAGTTGTCAATGAAAACATTCATTTTGAACAAAGTCGTCTTGGGCATTTCATTTAGCACCAGAGACAAATTTTAAAAACTGTGACATCATGAAACCATGGGCGCAGTCAAGATTGCCTGAAAAGTATGACATTAAAAAATGTACACATGGGAGGAGTCAGGCAAGATGGTGGCAGAGTGAGAGGCAGGCTTGCCTTTGCCAGATGCTCACAAGAAAAAGAGAAGGAAAAAAAAAACCCCAAAACCCCAAAACAAAAACCCAAACCAACCCTAAGGGAAAACTAAAGACTACAGCATACAATAGGAGCATCAGTCTGGGCAAAGGGGAGGGAACTTGAAGTGAACTTTGCTTGGAATGATAATGGGGCAGTGCAGCCCAGAGGGGGAGGGACCGCTGCTGTGCAGAGCTTCCGACAGTTATTTACTTGGGCACATGCCAACTCCAGGGCAGAAACCCAGAGCTGCACGGGAGAAGGGGTGTATAGTGCACTAGGATGGAGGCTGAATTGCCAGAAAGCTGCAGAGGTGGAGACACAGAGGTTTGAACCTGAGGCTGGTAACACAAAAGAGCTGTAGCATGCATCAGGTCAGGGCATCTGCACTTCCCTGTAGAAGAGGATACTACTTGATGCCCAGGCTGACTATTGGAAGCACCTGCCACCCATCAAAAAGAAACGATAGAACAGACTGGAGCTCAAGCACCCATCAACAGTGGGAGCAGATACCCCAGGATAAGACTCCGGTGGGGAGAAAAAGAGAACAAATCCCAGGCTGGATACGAGCCCAAGGAACTGGCCTGGCAGAGGGGGCCACTGTGGACGCCACCACACAACTCTGGCCCCCACGGCACAACGGAAATGCAGATTGCTGAGTCTACAGGAGGTGATCCTTTGGTGCTCACTGCCTCACCCTCTTTAATATGTGCTATTCCCCAACAGGTACCCGTCCCCTAATTATACCAACAGGTGCAAAGACAAGACTTGAAAATCTATCCCTACAAAAACTCATAAAAATTGAAAACCACAAGACAGAAGAACACATCACAAATGGCAAAGCAAAAAATCACTGAAAGGAGCCGTGTCTCAGCGGAGTTGCAGAGCATGACAGAAGGGGTGTTGAGAGCAACAGTTCTGGCAACACTGGTGGATCTTAAAACCAGCAAACACAAACAACAGAGCTATAAAGCAACAACAGAATAAAGTGAAGGGAACTATGGGGCAACTCCGACTAGAAATAATGGAACTAAAAAACACTATAGCTGATTTAAAAAATATATACAATGCAGAGAAGTAATGGGCTTGAAAACATAATGTTGGCAAACACAAGAGCAGAACAACAG